GCCCGGTATCTTGAGATGGGGTTTACCTTTTTTTAAATTTATTGTTATTTTTATTTTGAGACTTATGTGAGCTTTTTTTTGTTTGTTTGTTGTTCTCTAGATTCAGCTACAAATACTCATGCTAATATTACTGCCAACATCAACTCTATTCCTATGTTAAATGGCACTAACTTCAAGTCATGGCAAAAGAGTCTATTGATAGTTCTCAAAGTCATGGATCTCGACCTAATGTTAGGAGTTGATTCTCCTGCTCCTCTCATGGATAAGAGTACCTCTGATGAAAAGAGGGATATAGAAAGGTGGGAGAAATCAAATCGCATGTGTATGATGATCATGAAAAAGGTCATTTCGGAAGCATTTAGAGGCACAATGTCTAAAAAGATTACTATGGCTAATGATTTCCTTGCAGACATTGAAAAGAAGTTTATTAAGAATGAAAAGACTGAAATATGTATGCTCTTGACAAGCCTAATTTCAATGAGCTATAAAAGAAAATGTAATATTAGGGAGTACATTATGAAGATGTCACATCTTGCTTCGAAGTTAAAAGCATTCAAATTAGAACTCTCTGAGGACTTACTAGTGTATCTGGTTTTGATATCCCTTCCGACATAATTTAGCCAGTTTAAGGTGAGCTACAACTACCAGAAAGAGACTTGGTCTATGAATGAGCTCATCTCACACTGTGTTTAAGAAGAGAAAAGGCCAAAGCAAGATAAGACAGAGAGTACTCACCTGGCCTCAACCTTTAAGGACAAGGACAAGGGAAAGAAAAGGAAGAAGAATAAGGAAGCTGCAGATACGACACCTCAAAAGATATAGCAAAAGAAACCGGATCAACCGGAAGGTACTTGTTGTTTTTTATGTGGAGCTAAAGGGTATAAGAAGAAGTATTGCTCCAACTACCACGAATGGCGTGCTAAGAAATGTATGCTTCTTAATTTGGTTTGTTCTGAGGTTAATTTAACTTCAGTATCTTGACACACGTGGTGGATAGATTCTAGTGCAACAACTCACATCAGTGTGTCTATGTTGGGTTACCTGAGTTGGCGAAAGCCAAGTGATGGTGAAAGAGATACATCTATGTGGGCGATGGCAAGAAGGTTCACGTTGAGGCAATAGGAACATTTAGATTATTGTTAAAGACTAGATTTTATTTGGATCTTAATGAGACATTATTGTACTATCTTTTAGACGGAATTTGATTTCTATTTCTGTTTTGGATAAATCTGGTTACTCTTGTTCATTTGGGAATGGAAAATTTAGTTTGTTTCATAATTCAAAATTGGTTGGTTCTAGTTCTTTGTCACGTTATGATAATCTTTATTTGATTGATACAATTGATTCATTTAATGAATCCCTGCAATTAAGTACACGAGGTATAAAGAGAAAATTAACCAATGAGAATTCGGCTATGTTATGGCACAAGAGATTAGTTCATATCTCTAGATAGAGAATAGAGAAACTTGAGTCAGATGAAATTCTAAACCCTTTAGATTTCACAGATTTTAATTTTTGTGTTAACTGTATAAAGGGGAAACAAACCAGTAAAAGGAGATTTGAAGCCAACAGGACTTTTAATGTCTTAAAACTTATACATAACGATATTTGTGGGTCATTTTCTATGGTTGCTTGGAATGATCAACAATATTTTATAACGTTCATAGACGATTATTCCAAATATGGCTATATATATCTCATTCATAAAAAGTCACAATCGCTAGATGTGTTAAAAAATTATAAGGCTGGAGTTGAGAACTAACTCAGCAAAAGGACCCATTACAAGATGTAAAAAATAAATGAACTGTGGACAGACAAAAAATTAGGACCCGTATGAAAGGTATACTCAAATCATGATTCTGATGTTTGAAATTTAAATTTTTTGTGAGAGAAAAATACTGTAGCAGAATCAATGATTTGAGTTTGAGTATATGAGACAAATAGGCCTTAGTAGATGTTGATTCATATGAGCAGCTCTTTTAAACCTTTCCAAAGGTGAATCTTTTGACTTTTTATTTCTATTTATGTTTTTTTTTTGTGGTGTATATAGACCCTTAATTTTCTTTTGGATTAATTTCGCTGACGTCTCTTGAATTTTGAGGTTATTTCTACTTTACCTCATGAAATTTAAAAACTCTCACTTTGTCCCTTGAACTTAGAATTGTTCTCACTTAACCCCTTATGTTGTAATTTATGTTAAAACAGATAGTAAAAAAGAGAGTAATGCAATCATGTGGTCTTTCTTTTTGAATTTATGTTAAAAAAATCGATAAAAATCACATGGTCACACTTAACCCAATTTTTTCTATCTGTTTTTAATAAAAATTATAACAAAAAAGATTTAGAGTCCGTTTGGTTCATGGATTAGAACCATGTGATTAGAACTATTTTCGATTTACGTGTATTTTTTGTGAGAGAAAGTACTGTAGCAAACTACGAATCATGATTCGAATCAGGAAATGAATCTCTCTACCAAACATCACCTTAGTGAGAACAATTTAAAATTTTAAAAATAAAGTATAAATTTTAAAAATTTAAAAGGCAAACTAACAATAACCCTAAAATTCAGAGCATCAATGTTAATAATTTTTTTTTTAAGGGAAGTACAATGAAAAGACTTGCGTAGGTCTGTTTGACCTTATACAAGCAGAAAATAAAATAAATAAGTAATATACGGCAAAAACAGAGAAGATAACAGCACTTTTTTAATATAAGAAATTGTCAAACGACGTGAAGCATGGACATCGAAGCGCGTGGTACCACCTCCTCTAAATTATCTCACTCAACTGTTTTGTCAACTGAAAAAATATATATATAATTATAAAAAAACTGAATATATATATATATATATATATATATTTCAACACGTTCCTCCTATACTTTTTAATCTTCCGTAAATATCTTAAAATTTTCTTTTTCATGTAATTTGCAATTGAGGAGCCACATTAGATCTTTTCAATCACCATTGACATAAGAGTTTTAATTCACTGATTCGAGTTGAGATATGACTTTATATGAGAGTTTTTTACTGTGTAAAAAAGTTAGACATGACTATTTCTGATAGCTTTTTACTATAATAAAACTCGAATTCTAAACTCGAATCGGTGAAATGAACGGAGTCTATTGATTACTTTGCAAGTTGATCATCAAAACAAATGAGAAATAACTTAAAAGAGTACATTTCACCATTACACTCTACTTATTTATTTTTTGCATAATACGCCTCGAATTTTTAATTTTAACAAATTGCACACTTAACTTTATAATCAATTACAATTGAGGTCAGATAGCCAATGAATGTTATTAAATTAACAGTTTAACAAATAGAATTTGCACATGCAAACAAAGATTGACATTTTTCAAACTATGTCATGTGCAAATTTTATGTCTCGAACTGTCAATTTGATAATGCAGTTAGTTATTAAATTTTAATTGTAACTTATTTTAAAATTCAATGTACAATTTGTTAAAATTAAAAGTTCAGAGTACATTATGCAAAAATTGAATAATTTAAAATGCAATAATTGAAATATTTTGTAAAATCTTAAAGTGATTCTTTTTTAGCACAGTAAGGTAGAAAAGTAATTAAAACATTACTTTTCTACATTAAAGTTTCAACATAAGACGATGCAAGTAGTGTGTTTGATTAAATTGTTTAAAGATTTAATACACAGATAGCAATGCACGTTATAATTATTTTGAGAAAGAGTAGTGTTAGGGACACCAACTTAAATTTTAATTTTTATATATCAACTGATGTGATATGTGAATTGTGATTTTTATATTAGTAGATGCAATCTCTTATCATTAATTGACGTGATAATATTTTAAACACTCACCAATAAAAAAAAGTAATAACTCATATGCCACACCAATTGGTATATAAAATTTGAGATTTAAGTTAGTGTCCCTAATATTATTCTTAAAAAAATTAGTATTTTTTAAGTTTTACTTTTAGTTTCTACTTCTCTTTCTCTATGAGAAAAAATACATATTTTTTTAAAAGCACGAAAATCCCAGATTAACTTATCCAAATGTGAAATTCACGTGGACATTAATGTGAAAAATTTTAATAAGAAAAGAAAGAAAAATTAATTAATGATTCATATTGCAAATGTTAAAGAAGTATATATAACGAGATAATGGGCCCGTTTGTTTGCGTTTTCGTTTTCGTTTTTCACGGTTTTCAAAGCAAAAAAATGAAAACGGGTGTTAAAAACGTGTTTGGTGCAATTTTTTTAAAAAAACAAAACCAAAAACGTTTTTGTCTTTTTGTGGAAATCAGAAAACGAAAAAAATGTGTTTTCATTTTCTTGTTTTCGTTTTCTGTTTTCTGAAAAACGGATTTCACTTTTTTTTTTCTTTTTCATTTTCTTCCCTCTTTTCTGAAACCGTTTTTGTATTATATATGTTTATTTAATATATTTATTTAATATATTATTATTTAATATATTTAATAATATTATTTATATAATATATTTAATAATATTATTTATTTAATATATTATTACATATTTTTAAAAATTAAACCACCAAACGCAGTTTCAGTTTTTTTTAAAACTGAAATCAATCTCTAAATAAAACTACCAAACGCATTTTTAGAAATAATTCAAAAATGAAACTAAAAATGTTTTCATTTTCATTTTCGTACAGAAAATAAAAACGTTTTGGAACCAATTCCAAACGCACCCAATGTGCCAAAAGCATTACATGGCGGGTAAGAAACCAAAAATACCATAGTTGAGGGGGTAAAGTGAAAATAATGGGAACCTCGAAGCGCGTGGTACACCGCCTCTAAATTATCCAAACTTTTTATATTGGTTTTTCATAAATAAATCTCCCAAGCAAGCATCTTCATACGACAACAAAAAGAGCGAACGTAAAGCCTCAAAACGCATCGTCCGACCCAACCCCGCGTCGCTCTCTCCCCCTTCTCTCTCTTCTTTCTCTCTCAAGAACGAGGCAAAGGGAAGAAACAAACCCAACCAACGAGAGAAAAAATTCACTGTTTCAGAGCTCCCACCAAATAATCACCCTCGCATTGCGCGTGCTCTTCACTCGCTAATTTAATTTGCACAATTTTTTTTTGCATTTTTTTTTTTTGGTTTGAGGTTTTTTGATATTGGAACTTGGATCTCCATTGTCTCCGAACTCTGGAACCAAAACCTGCATTCCGCTTCTGATACGACGCCGTATTCACAGCCCCAAACAATTCTCCGTCAAAGGTAATGGCAGTTAGAATCCAAATATTTCTTTCAATTTCTATTTCGTTTTTCTTATAGGAAACGATTTGTTATATATATATATATGTGCGTGTGTGTGTGTTTGTATATATGTATATATATTATATATATTTATATATTGAACATGTGCATGCTTTCTCAGTTTTGGTTTGGCAATTAGTATTTCAATGCCTGAGAATTGAATTTAGGGTTTTATTTATTTATTTATTTATTTTAGAGAGGAATGTGTTATGGATTGTGCAAGGTCAGGGCTTCACAAATTTAGCATTCTGGGACCGCCCATCTGGTTTAATTCACAACCTATTTGAAAGGTTAGTCTTTTTTTATTTTTTTTGTGTGCTTTGATTAACCCTAAATTCAGGGACGTTAATTATGCCTCCTTCTAGGAATTTGATTGTTTCTTCAATTATGAATGTAGAATGATTTTGCTTACCATGGATGTTCCATTTTGTGTTGTCAATTTAGGGTTTGTGATAGGAATTTTAGGAGATAAATTGGATTTGTTCTTCTATGGATGTAAAGGATTTTGGTTACCTTACATTTTACATTTTGTGCGCTTTGTGGTGGGAATTTTGGGAGATAAATTGGATTGTGCTTCTAATTCAATGAATGTAAAAGGTTTTGAGTTACCTTTAATTTTTCCTCTTGTTTTTTTTTTTTTTTTTTTCTTTTTTTTTTTTGGGGGGGGGGGGGGGTGGGGGGGGGGGTGGGGGGGGGATTTCAATGAATGTAAAAGGTTTCGGTTTTACGTTGAATTTTCCATTTTTTCGGTTGTTAGTTTAGTGCTTTTTGTTAGGAATCTTAGGAGCTATTTTTTATAAAAAAAATTGGTTTTAGATTTTAGCTTCTTTAAGCATGGTTATTTGTCTCTAAACACTTGTTGAGATCTAAGATAGTTACTGTTTAAATGGATGGAAGGGGAAAGAGACACAGCTATTTCCAAATAGTGAAACATATTAGTCATCTCTTATCAATCTTTATCTTTCTCCGATCCATGAGTTTCACCTTCTTGTTTAATATTTATGCATTTGCTTTGCTCATGATTATTATCGAGTCCCATAAATCTAGGTTTTTAACTGTCAAATGTAATTTTTCTAGGTTTTGCGGGAGCCATGGCACTTCGAAAATTTGTTCCTTCAGGTGAAGCGCCATCTGTCAGCGTGAAGCCTTTGAATTTCTCCAGGGCAATGGATGAGGATACTCGTTTTGTGGATTCAGAGACGAGTCTTGCTGTGGAACCTGATGTGGATATCGACCTCAGAGAAGTTTACTTTCTTATCATGCATTTCCTTTCAGCTGGGCCCTGTCGTAGAACTTATGGGCAGTTTTGGAATGAGCTTCTCGAACATCAACTTTTACCCAGAAGATATCATGCGTGGTATTCAAGGAACGGGTTACATAGTGGGGATGAGAATGACGATGGCAAGTCATTTCCTTTGAGTTACAATATGTTGGTGGAGAGGTATGTGAATAATCAACTAATTCGTTTTCTTTGTTTATGTTGAATGGAATCTGTAATCCTATTTTTCCAATGTCTTATTTTTTTGTTTGTGACTGTTAGAAATCAAACAAAAGATTCTTATGCCAATTTTTTTTCTCTTTAGAAATAATGTAACTTATTTTTTCATTATTTTTGCTTATTTAGGTATTCACATGTCGAAAAGGATCACCTGGTAAAGCTTCTAAAGCAGTTGATTATAAGTACAGCTCCTCCTTCACGGGGTATAAGTGGTGGGAATGCTCCAAACGCTGCTGATGTACCTACTCTTATGGGAACTGGTTCATTTTCACTCCTTCGCTTAGGTGAAATTACTTTAAGAGTTTTGTTTTAATTTTTATGATATGTACTTGGAAAGTTGAACCCCCATTTTATGATTCGATGGAGGATCTCATATTGGTTAAGGTTCTATAAAGCTGAAACCCAATGCACTTGTAAACTTAATTCGATATGTTGTTCCCATCATTTTTTTTTTGGTCATGTTTCTTCTTTCCGTGATTCTTTTTATCTCCATTGCCATAGTTCTTGTTGTTGCTTTCATTTACTTTTTAGTGAGCTAATTTTCTGTTTTTACGTGATTAGTTATGGAATCTTCGTTTTTATCCAGATGATAGGGATAAAGTAGACAATGACATAAGGCAACCCCCTGCTTATATGCGTTGGCCTCACATGAAAGCTGATCAGGTTCGTGGATTAAGTTTGAGGGAGATTGGCGGAGGTTTTGCTAGGCACCATCGGGCGCCATCTATTCGTGCGGCATGTTATGCAATTGCAAAACCATCAACAATGGTTCAGAAGATGCAAAATATCAAGAGGCTAAGGGGACATCGGAATGCTGTCTATTGTGGTATGTTCTCATTTGCTATGTTTCATGGCGCTTAGACTTCACATGATGTTGGATACTATTGAGAGTATAAGGCTTGTTCCAGCTATAAATGGTTACCTGGATTAACTATTCATGTGCATTAATAGTTTGGTTTGTCTTTGGTGTTTGTGCATGTATATAAGAAGCTTAAGCAATATGCTAAAGTTGCAACATAAACTTCATGCTATGATATTCCTGGAAAGCTGCAGATTATTATTATTATATATTATGCAGAATCCTCTTTAATTTTGGTTAACGTAATTTCTTATGAAAAGTTATTTGAACTTTTTTATGAGGAAATGGCAAGTCTTTTCTGAGTATGTGAAGGACAAACTTATCTTAAAACTGTGTTTGAGCTCTGATGGTGGCTAATCTTGACATGTCTTCTGCAGCTATATATGACCGCACAGGGAGATATGTTATTACTGGTTCAGATGATCGCCTTGTGAAGATCTGGTCAATGGATACAGCATATTGCTTGGCGAGCTGCCGTGGTCATGAAGTGAGTTTTTGCGGCCTATATGGCTATAACTGACATACTTATAAATATATGTCATTGTTATAAAATTTTTCTATAATCATTATTATCTTTTTCCCATTTCTTTGTACACTTTATAGGGTGACATCACTGACCTGGCAGTGAGTTCCAACAATGCTGTGGTGGCATCCTCGTCAAACGACTGTATAATTAGAGTTGTACGCATTCTCTCTTGTTAAATGTATTTCTTCACCCTTCTTCACCATATTTTCTTTTTTCTCTCTCTCACTCTTTTTTTTTTGGCGGGTTGCTCAATTCTATGACTTTTGGTCCTTTTAGTGGCGTTTGCCCGATGGCCAGCCAATTTCAGTATTGAGGGGACATACTGGAGCTGTTACTGCCATTGCTTTTAGTCCCAGACCTGGTTTTGTGTACCAACTTCTGTCGTAAGGCTATCTTTTTTGTCACCCTATCTTTGTATAAATAAACCGTAATTGCCATGAATAATTGTCTTTTCTCAACCTTGTTCATTTTAATTTTTCCTCACGGTATGGATCATTTTAAGTATATCTCACAATATGGATATTTCTTTGTGCAGTTCATCTGATGATGGGACGTGTAGAATTTGGGATGCTAGAAACTCTCAGCTAAGACCACGGCTGTATGTTCCAAGGCCTTCAGATAATGTGGCTGGTTAGTTTCTCTTTTATGTTCTGATAGAGTCCAAACTTTTAGTTTGCAGAGAGGATTTTGTTTATACTAATTTGATTGATTTCAGGAAGAAACAACGGGCCTTCCTCAAGTGTTGTTGCACAAAACCATCAAATTTTTTGTTGTGCGTTTAATTCTAGTGGAACAGTTTTTGTCACTGGTAGCTCAGACACACTTGCAAGGGTAAACGATTCTCTTTAGTCTTTCTTGTTTATGTTATTATTTCAGCAAATCCCAAGTTTGTCGTCATCAGGAGCAAACGCATCATTATCTTTTCAAAAGTGCATTGCAAACGTACAATTCCTAACTACTTGCAGGTGTGGAGTGCTTTAAAATCAAGTCCTGATGATTCAGACCAACCAAATCATGAGATAGATGTGCTATCTGGGCATGAGAACGATGTCAACTATGTACAATTTAGGTTAGTCCGTGTAGGTTTCAAGGGGAAAAAGAAATAACTTTTATTCGTACTATTTTCTTGCTGATGTACATAATGCTTCTTATATTGCAGTGGCCATGCTGTAACATCTAGATTTATGACAGCTGACGCCTTGAAGGAGGAAAATATTCCAAAATTTAAGAATTCCTGGTATGTTTTCTTTTCCCTTCTCTTTTGAAGGTTGCGTCGCAATTGCTTTTGTGTTGTGGTTTATGTTATTTACTTTTCTGCTATTTAACCTTTTGAATTTTAGGTACAACTACTTTTCATTGTTCCTATAGTTAATGTTAGTCATCTTTTAAGTCGTACATAATTCATTGCTTCCAGGTTCACTCATGACAACATAGTTACTTGTTCTCGCGATGGCAGTGCAATTATTTGGATACCAAGATCACGCAGATCGCATGTAAGTTTCATAATAGATTTTTGTTCCCTGTATTTCTAGGCTTCTGGTTTCCAAAAAAGGTTTTTATTGTAAGTCATGAAATTGTTTTATTTTCCTTTCAAACTATGAGTGATACCTTAAGTCCTCACATTCTTTTTATTGCCATAAATGAAATGCTGTGTTTCTGTTTTTATGTTCCAGGTGAAAGCTTGCCGCTGGACACGGGCATATCATCTCAAAGTTCCACCACCACCAATGCCCCCTCAACCTCCACGAGGAGGCCCTCGTCAAAGAATTCTTCCTACTCCTCGGGGTGTTAATATGATTATTTGGAGCCTTGACAATCGTTTTGTTCTTGCAGCCCTTATGGGTAACTTGCTTATTTCATTCTTTTTACGTATATTGCAAGTATGAGGTTGGGGGTGTCTTTTCTCGAACTGGAATTGATTTGTTGTATGTTTTGAAAGCAAGTGAAAGCTTCTGGTCTCACGTGAGGTTTTATCTTACCAACCCCATTCCCTCTCTCTTCAATCATTTACCATTCTGCTGTACAACTTTTGTCTCTTGTGCAGTGTTGTACAAAAATACCTATATTTATTATTATGTGATCAAGTATTGTTTTTGTTTTTTAAGCTCCTTTTGTTGTATAATCTTTCACAACATTGTATTCTTCTTATGATGCAGATAACAGAATATGCGTATGGAATGCATCCGATGGTAGCTTAGTACATTCTTTAACTGGTCATAGTGATTCTGTAAGTGGCTTGATCTTTAATTTTGTGTCTTCTCCTTTTTCTTCTTCCTCTTTGAGAGAGGGGGAAGACTATTAAACTGAGTTAAAAGGTGCGCTTTCTGTTTTGATTTTCCACAAATAAGTTGTCTGGTGATTTTACATCTTTTATTGGTTGCAACATTTCTGCTACTTAATTTGATGGTGACCTCATTCCCTGTCTGAGTGATTCGAAGTGAAATAACGTAATGTTGATTGGAGGATTTCAAATGTGAATTATTTTTCTATTTTCATGCATGTCTAATGTTGATGTGTTGATCAGTCGATGAATGGGGTTATGCTAACTTAAGTTCTTGACAGACGTATGTTCTGGATGTTCACCCTTTTAATCCCCGGATAGCTATGAGTGCTGGCTATGACGGAAGAACCATTGTGTGGGATGTTAGTTTCCTGTTCCTTTTACTTTTCTTCAAATTTTCCTTGTTTTCTGTGTTTTGCCGGATGCTTCTGAGTTTTGACTTTTTCTACTTGTTATTCTAGATATGGGAAGGGAAACCAATAAGGATCTATGAAATGTCGCGCTTCGAACTTGTTGATGGGAAATTTTCACCGTAAGTCCATTGCTATTATCATTGTTATTTGATTTTCTTTTTAATGCATTGTCTATTTGATTAAGTTGTTTGGTCAACGTGACAACAGAAATAACTTTTGTTACTATTTATTCGGCTCTTTGTTTCCTTGGATCTTGATGCTCATATTAACCTTTTGCATTCTTCTGCATTTGTGATAAAATCGGTGGGGTCTTGGAATCTAACTCATTGATTTATGATGTTGTTACAATTTTTTTCTCCATCATTGTAGGGATGGGACGTCAATTATACTGTCTGATGATGTTGGGCAGCTCTATGTATTGAACACAGGACAAGGGGAATCCCAAAAGGATGCAAAATATGATCAGGTACCTAATTTCGTATTTTTTTCCCCTTCTCTCTTTTATTTTAAAGGATGCATCATTACTGGTCATGAGTTATCCGATTAGTTGGAGTCAAAGATTTCATTTTAAAGGATGTTCTCAATCGTAGTTCGCACTCCTTTGGCAGTTTTTCCTTGGTGATTACCGGCCCCTTATTCAAGATACCTACGGGAATGTACTTGATCAGGTTGGTTGATCATGTTTAAATCTCGGCAGTTACTAGTTTTTTTTTTTTTTTTTTTTTTTTTAACTGTGTTTTAGTACCTTACCAATGTGATATTAGAGTAGGATTCGAACTGGCAACTACTAGACATTTTTACGTACAACATGAAGGTTTAAAAAACTTGCCAATAGAGTGCTATTAGATTTTTCATATATTCAATTTTATGGTCGCTTACTAGTGTGACTTTAATTGAATCAGGAAACTCAGATCACTACATTTCGACGGAATATGCAAGATCTTCTATGTGACTCAGGTTTTCTCTAACTTGAATGGCTTGTTGCTGTGTGTGTGTGCTCGGGGGTTTGGGTTTGTTGGGGGAATTATTTTTTATTTTTTACTAGGTTCACTTTCTCAAGCTGTATATATGCTTTGAACCTGCCAGCCATGATACCATATCCAGAACCCTACCAGAGTGCATACCAGCAGAGGCGGTTAGGGGCTCTGGGTTTTGAATGGAAACCCACTTCTCTTAAACTTGCTACTGGACCTGACTTTACTCTAGATCTGGAATTCCAAATGCTGCCCTTGGCAGACCTGGACATATTGGCTGAATCGCTCCCGGAGTTTCTTGATGTAATGGATTGGGAACCAGAAATTGAAATGCAAAGTGATGATAATGATTCAGAGTACAACATTCCTGAAGGTTATTCGATGGGGGGCGGGCAAGGAACTATAAGTTCCGATTCCTCTGCTGACTCTGAGTGCAGTACAGGAGATGGGGAGGGTGAGGACACTCAATCGGATCAACTCCGCAGGTCGAAAAGGAAAAAGCAAAAGGCTGAAGTAAGTTTTTACTTTGATTTCTTTCTTCTGTAGAGAGAGAGGTTGTTATAAGGGTTTTCTTCAAGCCTTTCTTTGCTTGATTATGATTAACTCACTGCCCCCACTGTTTTATTGCTTCAGACTGAGATCATGACATCTTCTGGAAGACGTGTGAAAAGGAGAAATTTTGATGAGGGTGATGGAAACCCGCTAAGGAACCATAGAACTAGGAAACCAAAAAGTGGCCAAAAAGCTTCAAGAAAAAAATCATCATCCTCAAAATCATTGAGGCCTCAAAGGGCTGCGGCTCGCAACGCACTTACTCTGTTTTCTAAAATTACAGGGACGTCTACTGATGGAGAAGATGAAGAGGGGTTGGAAGCTGATACATCAGAAAGTGAATCCACGCTTCAAGACTCAAACATTGAGAGTGATGGATCTGAAAAATATCTGCAAAATGAGCAAAAGAAACACATAAAAGGAAAAGAGATTTCAGTGGATGAGTCTGAGGAATTCGTCAACCATCCGAAAGTTCCTGAATCTCATATGAGTGCTGGAAATAGGACAAGATTGGTCCTCAGATTACCAGTGCGAGAGTCAAATAAACTTGTGGTCAGACAGAGCATAGTGTCTAATGACCAGACTGATTTGGTGGGTCCATCCTCAATGTTTCCTATAGAAGCAATTGATAGAAATGGGAATAGTGTAAAGTTCCAAGATCCCCGGGAGTGTCCTGACGATGATGCAAAGCGCAACACAATTGGAAGACAAGAGGAAGCAGATCTAGATAAAGTTGATCGTTTAAGCTTTTCAGAAGGTTATAAAAATGTGAAAATCAGATGGGGTGGCTTCAAAGCTCGTTCATCCAGGCGTCTCAGGCTTGATGAAGCTACACCATCAAATGCATTATTTAGGACGAACTTGTGTCTCGAAGGTTGTCGTGAAAAAGACAATGACTTCGGTGGATATGTGAAAACTGAGAGTAATGCTGCCACTGATGTACAAATACAAAAACATGAGGTCGGCGCGGATGGAGTGGTGTTAACAGATGGGAGAACTATGGGGGATAATGCCTGTAGTATGGCCAATGGTATAGAGCATTCAAGTTCTACTGAATGTAGGAATGATGATAAAACGCCAAAATCCCATGACATGGCTACGGGCAATGCAACTGCCTCTTCAGTCGATGATGAGAACAAGGTTAGTGTTCAACTTGAACGAACTGATGACCCCCGAATAAGTTCTACAAAGTTGAGGCTGAAGATGACTTCTAGAGATCCTGAAAGTCGTTGCGAACAGGAGGAGAAATCATTTGCTGGAAACTTGGAGAATGGCAATTGTCAGTCCTTACATGACAATCCTTTGGACATGGAACAAGACTTGGTTGTGCCTGTGGATGATATGGCCAATGGAATAAGTTCAGATCACGTTGATGGTGGTCCACGGGAATCTGACACTCAACGTGATAAGAATGCCGAGTTCAGTGTAAAGGACTTGATGGAGTCTCATTTACGTAGAGATAAAATGTTTACGGCTGTTTATAGAAGGACTAAATCCCATAAGGGGAAAACTGCCGTGGAAGGTAATGGTGATGGGAGAGGAAGCACTTCAAATATAAGCAACAATCTGAGTGTTGGAGACGACTCAATTGATCAATCCATTGGATTGAAGGCCTCTACATGTAGTCCAAATGTTGCGGCTGACGAAGTTAAGCTGGATCAAGGACTTGAATCAGGGTACAAACTCAGAAATACCCAGAATGGTTCCAGGAGCAGAAATCAAGTGGTACGTGAAGAATGGGGATTAAGTTCTGGGATGACAGTTGGATTGAGGTCCACTAGAAATAGGAGAGGCAGTTATCATGTTCAAGAGACGAGTCCAATAGATGTAAGGAAGTCAAATAAATCATCAAGAAAGGGTACGTGGTTAATGCGAACTACACCTGAGGAAGGCTCCCGATACATTCCCCAGCTAGGGGATGAAGTAGTGTATTTGAGACAGGTTAGTTACTCGAGGAATTTTTATGATGAATTCTGTTCATTCAATTTGTCTCGGCTTTGATGGTTTTAATGTTACTAATCTTACTGATTTATGTTGAGAACCTTTCTTTTTCTTTCAGGGGCATCAGGAGTATCTAGAACATAATCGGTCGAGAGAACACCCTCCTTGGACATCAATAAAAGAAGAGATAAGAGACGTGGAATTTTGCAAAGTTCAAAAGCTCGACTATTCTTCACTACCGGGATCTGGGGAGAGCTGCTGTAAAATGACACTTGAATTCGTAGATCCTGCTTCCAGCGTGTATGGTAGATCCTTTAGGATGACTTTACCCGAAATGACCGATTTCCCCGACTTCCTTGTCGAAAGAGCTCGCTATGATGCTGCTATACAGAGAAATTGGACACGCAGGGATAAATGTCAAGTCTGGTGGAAAGATGAGGGTGAAGAAGATGGTAGTTGGTGGCTTTGTAGGATTCTTACCGTTAAGGCGAAATCTGAAGAATTTCCAGATAGTCCATGGGAGACTTGTACTGTTAAGTACAAGGATGACACTACAGAAGCACATTTACATAGCCCCTGGGAGCTTTTTGATATCGATGGTCTATGGAAGCATCCTCATATCGATGTCAATAGCAAAGAAAACCTCAAGGACGCCTTTGCCAAACTAGAAAAGTCAAGCAAACCTCCACAGGTATTCAAACTCAATTTGAAACCCCATCCCCCCCAAAAAGAGGAAAAACAGTAGTTTTTGCAGCAACTGCATTTTATCGTGAATGTTAAATGGCGAATTTTGTTAATCTTTCCTCATGCATTTCAGGATCGGTATGGAATCAATCATCTGAGGCAGCTTTCACAGAGGACAACTTTTTTAAATAGGTACACTAGCCGTCCTTTAGTCCCACTGTTAATAAATGCTCAAACAATTTGAGCAATCCTAATACTTAGCTTGTCCTTGGAAGTCAAACATTTTGTGAATGCCCTCACATTTACAATCTTGTAGCTTCATTTCTTTCCTATTCAACGTGGAATGTGAAATGCTGATCTGGGTTTGTTGAATTTCCTCAGGTTTCCGGTGCCAATATCTTTTGAAGTGATCAAATGTAGGTTGGAAAACAACTATTATCGAAGTCTGGAGGCGGTGAGGCATGATTTCGAGATCATGCTGTCGAATGCTGAGCAATACTTGGGAAACAAGCCGGAGTTTTTGGTGAAGTTAAAACGCCTATCGGACTGGTTGACGAGGACGTTTTCATCTTTGTAGAAACACAATTTGACAAGTTTTGTAGGAAGATTAATCATTAGTGAGGAGGTTGGTGCGGCCTGCGGGGGTTTGCTCCCCCTTCTTGGTGTAGATATCTTGATTCCTTCAACGTGTTTTCCTTCTTACCCGTTAGATCCAATTTTTGAAATTGTTTAATCTCTTGGGTATTCTTTCTAGAGGGGAAATAAAGAGCAAAGGAAATTAGATTAGCTCTGGTTGGATGTGCAGATTTTCTACCGGAGGATTCGTTCTTGTATAGACACTTGATAACACCATTAATAACAAGAGAAGAGGAAAAAAAAAAAAAAATTCCATATATTGTTTTCTCGTTGGTCTACACAACTTTTTCTTTTCTTTTCTTTTTAATGGCTGGCTGTGGGGTATTCCGCTTAGTTATGGGGTGTTTCAAAAGAGATGCAATTCAACAACTAATGCTCATTTAGTTCACGCATTCGAACCAACCAGTGATTTTAATTTTAAGTTTAAATTTTATAAGAGAAATTTTTTAATTTCAATTTTTTGTGAGAATAAAATTAGAATTATGGATTCAAGTCATGTTAATCAGACTGGCTGTAAATGTTGACGTTGCATGGGACAATGTGAAGTCTATGCTCTCAAATTTTTATTGTGAAAGTACTTTCTTTCAGATCCTTTTGACAAAAAGAAAAAAAATAAATTCAAAGCAAAAGGTGAACTATCAGATGACAGTGGCCAAGGGTGTAAATTAGAATCTGTACAAATTATAAAGACTGGTTATTCTCATGCGTACCCTCATGTGTAAATTAGACAAATGAATGCAACTCTCCAACCCTGTAAGACTTAAAAAATAAGACTTGGTTTTTGATAATCATCACTATTAGTTCGTTAACGGTGTCAAGAATATTACTTTTCATCCTCTAGCAGCGGAGACAAATGGAGAAAAAATGGGGGTGAAAAGCTGGGCAAGAAAGAACACACAATAAAACTTTCTTTGTGGCATGAAGTGGCAAGACCATCATGCTAAAACTGAATTTTTGATGTTAACAGTTCGCAACCATCAAATTAAATGAAATGGATCCTGTCATTGACAAGGCTTGAAAAACTCCATTAACATTTCAGTTAGTAACGGTCTGTGAGGAAGAAATGCTGTTTCATCACGCCAAGGCTTCGACATAATCAGTGGCGCAGATGAAAATCAGTCTCTCCACCTGTGTCCACAATTGGGGTTGCAGCAAACAAAAAACAATGTCATCCCTTCCTCGCCTCTAGCAGTCGCCTGCACACGCGACATTAGAGCAAAGATTAGAACCACTTCAAAACAAGGTTAAAGGTTAAATTTCACTTGAAGCTGAAGGGGGGATTTGGTAATTTTCTCTAAAGCAATCAACTCGTGCTCTCAAGATTGATAGTGTAACCCAAATGAAGATTATGCAATTGGTTATCAGCTAGTCTCAGTAGTGGCCTTCCTCTGATCCAATGCGAAACTTGCAGTAATATGACAATAAAAAATAACTATTGATAACGATAATAATAAGTGATAGAGAGAGGGAATTTAACCTGAAAGAAGACAGCTTCACCATGGTTGCACTGAGCACAACGTACAGATTTTGTCCGAGGAAGAGTCGGATCAGCAGCTACGTCTTGCAATACCTGAGTGCGTTCTCCAACAGAGTGATGTATCTCATTTCTGTAGACACAGTTGTTATCAGCAACCTCCTGCAGAACATTAAGGCAATTATAAATAAATGAATTACATGGGGGGAAGAAAGAATAGGCACTACGATAAGCAGCAAACAAAACAAAAGCATGTCACAATAGGAGCTAACATCGACCCGTTGCCAATTGCTTTTAATTTACTAGCATTAAAAAAAGAGTGATAATTCACTCTTACAAAAGGGGTATCAAAAATCAACTTGCCTTTCTTCTCTAACAACCTTTCCTCATTTTGAACTATATTGAACAAAAGAGCAAAATAAGTTGCCAAAAACTGACATAATGATAAAGGTTAACTAGAATTTATGAGGATCTTCACAACATATAAAAAGGACTAATTGGGCATTAACTTGTAAATATTAAAAGAAGGATATAAACTCATACATAGAGTATGCGTTAAAAGAATAGGGTAACTAGAAAAATTACTACCTTTTCGATTGATAAGAAGGGGATTGATACGGTGCCTAATGCATAACTAATTTCTCTATCTCAAAAAGGACTAAGCACTTAGCTTTGAAAAATAATAATAATAATAATAATAAATACTTTAAAAAAATGGTAGAAATTTCTATAGAGAGCCTCAAACATGATATTAAGGACCTGTTTTGACATGGCTCCCCTGAAAGGATGGACCTTCTAGAAGAGATTTGAGAAGACTTTGAAAGTTCTCTAGAGCTTCAATAACATCTTATCAAAATTAACCTAACATTTTTATTGGTTTTATTGCCTTTTAGTAGATTTAAATATATCACATTTCCCCTAATTCTTTCAACCCAAAAAAAAAAAGTTCTCACTCTTCTACTGAATGAATGAATAACTAAACGAACCCTAAATCGTCTCGAATTTAAGTTAAAATGTGATGAAAATTTGTGGAGAAAGCAAGGACCTTGCATTAAAAAGTAGAAAACTTTCTCTGAGATTTTTAACAAGTGCTAATAACTCAACAAGATTATTTACTACATTGCACAGAATTCAACGACAAAGAACCCTAAATTTGCAGAGAAAAGAGAAGAAAGACGCAGAAGACCTGGTGATCGCAGTTGCGACAAGCGTAGAGGAGAATCTTCTGGTCTCTGTCCTCCTTGGGATACAGAATGTTGTTGCTGTGCTCAAAATCCAAAAAACATTATTATTGAATTGCTCTCACAAAATACCAAAGAGAAAAACCATACACAAGAAGAAGAAGAAGAAAAGAAGAAATGGGTCACTCACCATTCGCGGCAAAACTTCATGGTACTCATCTTCGCAAGGTTTTCAGTATGTCCTTTGGCGGGCTCTCTCTCTCTCTCTCTCTCTCTCTCTCTCTCTCTCTCTCTCCTCTTTCTCTGTCTTCTGATTTTCGTTCTCCCTCCCTTTTTATTTATGGTCTTTTCCGGATGCTACGCCCACTTCCATCGGTTTCTTCCTTGTTTTGTTGTCGTTCACAAATTAGTGGCGTTTTTTCTTTCGGAAAGAGAAAATGTTTGTTGTCGTTTTTACAGAAATTAAATAAAATAAGAGTTGATTCCAAAAATGGTTTACGACTTCTACACTATCTCACTTTGGTTACTTACATTTTGAAGTATCTTATTAAAATTGTCTTAGAGCCCGTTTGGTTAGAGGATTCGTTCTCTTATTCGAATTATGATTCATGTTCATTACAATATTTTTTCTCACAAAAAACACACGTAAATAAAAAATGATTATAATATCATAGTTCTAATTCATAAACCAAACGAGCTCTTAATCTGATTAAGTTAGTCCTACCAATTTATCATTAAAAAAAAATGACGAAAAACAATACACGAGTTGTGTGTGAGAGAGTTAAAACGTAAAACCGACCCCAAATTATCTTGATGCAACAAATTTTAGTTTTATTGTCGATTTCTTTTTCGATTGCATACTTTGAAACTTGAACTCAATACATAGAAAACAATTGATGCACCCACTTAACACTAATTGAGCTAGCCTCAATTGGCCATAATTTTTTAGTCAATTGATTATTAAAAAAAAAAGTATCGAAACGAATCGTGAGTAGTGAGATTGGATTATTTAAGTGCGTTGTATTGAGTTGTATTGTCATCTAGTAATCTTGATATATGGCCCCCAACCAGGGGATAAAGTCAAATGTTTGAGACTTTTCAATGGCTTAAGAAGTTATTATTACAAGTTTTGTTCACTAATTGTATTTGAATAATACGGTGCACGAATGAAAGTCAACCTCTCCAGTTATGGCCACAGTTGGGATTGCAACAAACAAAGAATAATGTCATCCCCTCCTCCCCTGTACCCGTTGCCTGCATACACAATTAGAAAAGATGAGGGAAAATAAAACGACAAGATTAGAATTTCAAAGAACCAGAAGAAGTATTACTCTATGCAGTTAGAAAGGATGTTAGAGATAAATTGCAAAAAATATCACGGCATGATGATCCATTTGGCCTTTGGGAGGAGGATTATGATAGGATTATGTTAGTAATTAGTAATCAATATAATAAGTGGTTAGTGATTTGTTATTAGGGTTGGTTTGTTATGTTTGTTTAGCTAGTTAGTAGTAGTATATAAGAAATAGAAAGAGACTAAAGACGGAGGATGGATCAGAATAAATTGAAAAACCCTTGAGAGAGTTAGCAGACATCTCGAACATCTATCAATCTATCTTGTAATCTCCTTCAATTACTTCATCAATATCAATAATTTTACTTTTCTATTCAATTCCTCAATTCAACTTCGGATCTTATTAGATTACCAATATTTAAGGTTAAATATGACATGGAAAGCATATGTTTGAAAAATGTTGGTTGCCAAATTTTTTTGAAGATGGATTTTAGGCCTAGTAACCTTTAGATACCAATTCATGTGACTGATATTTCAATTGATATTATTAAATACGGCAAATGAGAGTATTTTCAAGACTCATTAATAAAGGAACAACAATTCGCATTCCCCCGTCATGATTAATTCATTTGAAGAAGTCAAAATTATATAGTTGCATTGGAGATAGATCATGCTACATGTAGATGATCTTGGTACTACAGAGAGATTCACAATGACAAAAAAAAAATAAACTACCAAGAACAATAACAACTGAAAGACAAGACTGAGAACTTTGACCTGAAAGAAGACAGCTTGTTCATGGCTGCACTGAGCACAACGAACCGTCCTAGTCCGAGGAAGAGTTGGATCTGCGGTTACATCCTGCAATATCTGAGCGCGTACCGAGAGATTTAACTCATTTCTGAAGACACAGTTGTTCTCAGCAACCTCCTGCTCAGTTAAGAGAACAACAAATTAAATGCCATGAAAGAACATAAACACTATGGCCGTGTTTGATTCCGTTTTTATTTTTCACGTTTTTTGAGAAATAAAAAATAAAAACGGTATTTGACGTAATAAAAACAAAAAACGAAAATGAAAATAATTTTTTGATTTAGTGTAAAATGGGAGAGAAATGAAAAATGACTTTTAGTCGTTTTTCATTTTTTATTTTTATTTTTTCCTCTCTTGAGCGGAAAAAGAGAGAGAAAGAGAGATATTAATAAGTTTTTTACTTTCTTGGTCCGCTTGCTTTTTTGCAATGCGATCTCGCTACTTTTGTCCAATCATACTTCTTTCTCTTTACTTTCGAGTTGTATCCCAAATTTTTTTTCTTTTTTGGCTAATCGGGTTGTATCCCAAACTTATAATAATGAAAAAGACGTACCAAATCACCAATTGGGTAATTTTTGCAACTTCTTGTCCACTTTAAATATGTCCAAACCTAGCCAAACTACTCAATCGAGTTGTATTCCGAACTTGTGTAAACTGCACTTTCTTTCTTTTTTTTTCTGAAATAAAAAAAGGAATCACAGCGATATCCTGCTCTCATCTTCGCTTTTTGTAGAAGAAATTTGGAGAGCAATTAATAAAATAAAGATGTTTACGTTGGAATTTTGTCAACAGAAATATAGTTAATTACCATCTAGTAGTCGGTTGGATTACCGGTTGAATCTCGTTAAAATAACAGCTCTATATCCGATTAAATCCGATTAAAAGTTATTTATATCTGAGATTAAAAACGTTTTTATTTTTATTTTCATAAAAAAAATAATAAAATCATTTTAAAACGAGTTCCAAACGCGCCCATTAGAATCATCAAGATACTACATAAATACAAAAGAAGAGATATATACATATATTATGTAAAGCTACTTTGTTTTTCTTTTCAAACAATTCTTACTCATGTGACATCATGCACCAACTGATCATTGAAGCACAAGGAATTGCAATAAAAAACGTTTGAAATGTAAGCAATCAAGAAAATCATGATTGTCTACATATCAGAAGAAAAAAAACAAAATAGTACAAATAATAATAGCCCGGCAAGGATTCTAACAGAAAAGTTCGAACAAGATAATAAGTTTGTCATGAGCCATATGAACTTTCTAATCATTTGCTAGTAATTTGGTTTATTATAAATGACAAGGACAAGTACAGTTTATAGAAAAAGCAGGTCTTGAGGCAGAAAAGGATAGTGAAAATAACATGAATTTCTATATATGAAAAAAAAAAAAAAAAAAAAAAAAAAAAAAAAAAAAAAAAAACAACAACAACAACTACATTGGAAACGACATGATACCTGGTGATCGCAGTTGCGGCATGCATAGAGGAGAGTCTTGTTGGCTCTGTCCTCCTTTGGATATAGAATGTTGTTACTGCAAAATTTTCAACCTCATTACTAATACACATAAATATACACACACACACGACACATATATACATGTTTATATATGTTGTGGTGAGTGGTGAGAATGAAAGAAGAAATTGGGTGACTGACCATTCACGGCAAAATATCATAGTACTCATCTTGGGAGTCTTTGATTACAGCTCCAAGAGAGAGAGAGATTTTCAGTAACAAGGAAGATATTTCAAACACTAATAGTGACTAATTTACTATTATATCAGAGAGTTCATTTTGCTTGAGGTGTAAGTTAGGAGAATCTAATTCCCTCCAAGACTGATATGTTGTTTTTGGGTCCAAACGATTCTGCTACAGTAGTTTTGTGAGAGAGTTTAATTATTAAAATTTTCTCTCATAAAGTACAGTAGTTTTGTGAGAGAGTTCAATTATTAAAATTTTATCTCATAAAATTTCCGTCAATAGAATTTGAATTTTAAAATTTTCTCTTTTCAAAATTTTCTCTCACAAAGTTTCCACCAATGAAACATAATTTTAATTTGAGTACGCGAATAAACTAATTTGAGCTCCCACCAATGAACCATGATTTTAATTTGAGTACGCGAATAAATTAATTTGAACTCCCACTAATGAATCATGATTTTGATTCGTATGCGAACCAAAACTAATTTGAGTACGCGGACCAATCGAACCCTTTTTGTTTCACTTTATATGAAGGAAAAGAATATTTATGAGGAGGCAGAGGACTCCCACTTACACTCTTTTGGGACCCATTTGGAAAGTTTTGCTTGCAATCCCATTTCAGTCACAAAAGAAGTGTCGTAGTTTGAGTTGAATGTCGTTCTTGCCATTTTCAGCCACCAAACGAAGTCTTCTTTAGAAGTTTGATGTCGTTCTTTCCATTTAAAACGACGTGCCGCTTTTTGAGTTGGATCAAACGAGTGGTTAGTTCTTAGAAGTATGATGTTATCCTCGACATTTTACAACCACACCAAAAGACGTGTCGTTTTTGAAGTGTGATGATGTTCTAGTAATTTCCAACCACTTAACGACGTGTCGTTTTCTCTTTTTCATTCAGCTTGCCGTTTCTGCCATGTTCTACGTTCGATGTCGTTTAATCTATAGGCACTGTTTCCAACATAAATTATTTTATGGATTGACCATGGAACGGAAAAGGGGGCCGCTAAAAAAAGGAACGCCAAGTATCCAAAGCAATACTCTTGGCGATGATAACCAAACAAACGCAACTTCAACCAAATTAAAAAAAAAAAAAAAAAAAATCAACAGCAAATTAAACAGCTTATGAAAATCTCATCAAAATAAGGTTTTATTAATTAAGCAAGTACTGAACAAATTCTCATATTACACAACTTGTTACTAGTTATAAACAGGAAATTGTCATTAGAATATGCCAGAGAGAAGATTAGCAGCAGTGGAAATGGCAGCTCCAGTTATGGCACAATGCACAACTTGCTCATGTGTGGTGTCGTCTGATGTCAGCGCCAATGCCACGCCTGTTAGTGCTCCTGCCACTGCACTATTTTTCTGCAAAAAAAAAAAAAATAAAACCATAAAAACTAAATAAAATATATATATATATATATGTGTGTTATTTATCACCATTAGTAATTCATTATGGCATGTCTCATTATAATGTGTATTGTAATGATAATATTCCATTGTCACATAATAATGTCTTATCATGTCGTATGGACTGTTATATTCAGATATAAGACAACTAAACAAAGAAAGCATATCAGCCGTCCGATCATGATCAGCACTTATTGTTCATCATATAATACAATGAAAGAAAGGAACTATTTGTTGAGTCCTTAGTACCCAATCATGGGCCCCACGAGCCTCCTTCAGTCCATAAGTGAGACCTGAATACACTCCTGCAGCTAGCCCTACAAGGAGAAAGAGTTGAAGAGCTCATATTATTCCTAAGAAACTGAATTCAAAAACAAAAGTTACCTTCAAAAATAATTTTATTTTTTTTTTATGAAAATAGAAATGAAAATATTTACCATCTCAAACAGAAACAGAAATTATTTTTAAAAATGTATTTAGTAATTAAATTATTTTCGATGTGAAAAAACTCATTAATATCTCTATACTCGGGGGAGAAAAAAATAATAATAAAAAACAACTAAAAAATTATTTTTTTATTTCTCTCATATTTTACACTAAAATAAAAAATCGTTCCATTTCTGTTTTTTTGTCTTTAATTATGTCGTTATAAAAAATCGTTTTTATTTCTGTTTTTTTGTCTTTAATTATGTCAAACGCCGTTTTGGAATCGTTTTCATTTTTCTTTCTAAAAAACGTGAAAAACGTGAACAATTCCAAACGGCAAAAATCTCTTTGTTGTCTGGAAAAAAAAGAATTAAAACAATAAATTTACCCCATTGCAAAGATTCCTTCCCTGTGTTCTTCACCTGAAAATTACAAAATGAGGGGAAAATATTTCAACATAATAATCAAGCACAGCACAATCATTAGTCTTGTGGTATGTGGAAAAGGAAGAGATCAAATGCTAGAATTAAAATACCCACCATGGCTTCAAGTGATTTTCTGTTTGTTTCACCTGAAAAAGTGCATAAAAAACATCCATGAGTTTCTATTGAAATAACTGTATTTGAGAACGAGTACACATATATAAAAATTATTCATATATTTCATATTTTGATAATTATAGGCACAACTATCGGCAAGGAGAAAAATAATTTAGCAATTTTTTTTTGGGTACAAATATTAATTTATCAAATGAATACAGTAAGGAGTAAATAAATTTCCTTACCAGTATAAAACAAATACATTATGTGTGTGTGTGTGTGTAACAGATAAGTTTATATGATATCCTTATCTTTATAAATAAAATTAAGCATAAAAATTAGCAAAATTAATTAGGAGTAAAAAGAGTAGTTGTATGAAAAAAGAAAAAACCTCTTAAGTCAGGGAAACGGTGCTTCTTGGCACCTGGGATTTCTGTTGCACCAACACTACTTGATGAATTTTCTCCTGCATTTCCTTATTTCCTTTACTATATTTTCTTCAACTCAAAAATACAAAAACTATACAC